CCAACTCGTGTGCTCTTCGTTCTGCCCCCCATTTGGTTATTAAGTCTTCTTAATATTTGTAACTTGCTGGTTACCCATTAGAAAAGCTGCACCGCAAATATACGCCTCTTCGTGCCCCGTCTGGCGTTGTACCGTGCAGTTTTGATATATTTTTCACTTCCTTTTCCTTCTGCTTGCCCGCCAGTTATTAAGCTGCCTGCAGTTTACCTAGAAACTTCTTTAATTCCCTCATACTTTTGCTTTGTCTCCTCGAGTATTCCACGCTTTCTGCCATTCCCCTGCGGAATGGAGGCGTACATAGTTTTCAACATCAACGTCACCACAGCAACGACCACAGCCAATTATTAAACAAAAGTACCGCTGCGTCTTGAGCTGCTCGCGCTCACAGTGTTTACTCTTCCCTTAATTCGGCTTGGCGTTTTGTTTTGCCTGAGCAACAATTTTATTGTGCTTTTGCCGCTTGAACTGCTTTGAATTTCAATACTCTTTGCTCGTTGGTTGCTCGACTGAGCAATGCTCCTTTAGCGCGCGCCTGTAAATTTCCGCTTTTTATGGCTATCAACCACTACTATAGATGACCTGCCTTCTCCATCATCCATTTCCGTCTTCGTCGCGTCGTACATTTGGCCTGTCGATTGTTGTGTTTCGCATTTCGTCTTTTCGCGATTCTGAGACCATCATTATTGCGCGCAGCTTACAGGGATATGGTGAAGTAGCGCGAGGTTTTAAAATAATTTTTATACCCAGGTAAAGTGGTTCGCTGGGGTATAATGATCTTTGACGGAAAAGATGAAGAGGTCGACCATCTGTCGCCTGTCTGTCATTTAATCCATCTACAGGTCTGGTCATTCCGTCTATTAGCATAATCACCTGTTAGCCTACGCCACTTCATGCGCTTCTCTTCTGTGCGACTCTCTTTCATATGTGTTCATTCGGTTGTCTACCTGTTAGCCCGTTCTACTTCATACGCTTCTCTGTCAGTTAATCTATCCATAGGTTCTGGTGAATATCTTTTAATCCGTCGATTCGGTTAACCATCTCCTAGCTCAATAAATTGCATGCGCCTCTCTGCCAGCCAGACCATCTTCGGATCCGGACAACTGTCTTTTACTTCCGTCCATTCGGTTGCCCACCTGTTAGCCTTTCCAACTTCATGCCCTTCTCTGTCTGTTAGTTCATCTAGGGTTCTATGTATCCAGAAGCTTTATGAAGATGCTGCTAACCTGATGGTCTTATCGGAATCCACATTGTCGTCAGAACTCGGTTTCAGACCTTTCTTACTTGCATATTCCCTTTCGTACTCTTAAGTAGTAAGCATGGCAGCTGTGGAAAAAGGTTCCCATAGACCAAATCTGACCATGGATTGCGACCGGCCAACCAGCCAGTCAGTCAGCTAACCTGCCACACCACGAGCCACGGTTTTTGCGCTTTAATTCGGCTTCCCTGCGTTCGCCGCTGCTTACCTTCCGAGAGACTTGCATTATTGTTCGATTTCAAGTGGAAAATTGTCTTGAGCGCACAGCCAACACTTCCACAGCGTCCATTACAGTCGATCCGCCTTGTTGCTGCTTGCAGTTTCCTCTTTCTCTTTCTTTCTATCTCTCTCACTATGCAATTCACTGCTATTAAGATGGCAAATTACGCACGCTTTTTGTACGCGCGCAGTGTGCAACAATTGCATTTTATTAACGCTGCAGCACCATGCAGTGCAATTGCCCTCTACGCTCTACGCTCTCCTTTCTTTCCCATCCACCAACCACGGTTCACTTTCGCATTCGCGGTATTGCAAGTGAGAACGAAATCGCACAAAAGCCTTCTTCGCGCATTGAATAATTAAGATTTATGAATTGCATGCCAGGCCACAGCAGGATTCGCCGGCATTCTTGCCTGAGCTGAGGTGGCACAAGAGGTGCAGCGATAGCGACGGTGGAAATGGCAGCGGGTGGAGCTGCAAAGAGGATATTTGGTAGTTGGTTCATTGCAATGAAGTGGAATTTCTTACAGACAGACACACATACAGACGCGTTGAAGCTCTGCGTTGGCACATTATAATAGAGCCACGGGTGCCCGGAAAGTATTGTTGTTAGTGTATATCTTAAGGAGTTTTAAGTGGAATTTCGTTCGTTGCATGAAAGTAATTGTGAGTTACTCAACGCTATTTCCTCTCGCAACGCAAATGCCGTAAGATTACGCACAGTCTCAGGTACACACACACACACATGCATACATACAAATAAATATATTTTCATTAAACTTAAAGCAAACTCGCGCATATATATATACAAACATATTTAACTATTGTGCCGTAAACCTCTGCTCCTTGGCATTTATTTTCGTTGTTTATTGTGTTGATTTTGTTTTTGTTTTTGCTCATTCTTCGGCAGCAATTTGACCTGAAATTTCATTTCGCATTTAATACTCTTAATTTTCGGGGGTTTCCAGTTGATTTATTAGCTTGTTTTGTGGTGTTTGCTAATTTCGGCATTTGTTTTTGTTTTTTTTAGGTAATTTGAATGAGAGAAATTTTCGAAAACCCTCGAAATTCTCTTTCTCTTCAAATTATCTCATTTTCAGTGCTTTTAACTGCCCTTTTGTTGGTATACACTGAAAGAAATGCCGAGTTTCGTGTCAATTCTGTTGAAAAAGCCATCTCAATGAAAATTGCGTCTCTTGTTTGACTGACAAGCGCTCTTCTCATCACAGTTGAGGACTTCTTCTGTGCAGTTCTGGGGAAAATAGAAGTCGCTACATGCGCCTAAATCATTTGACTGTCATTAACCTGGAATCTCACAGGTACCGTAAAATGTCAACTGTCAATTAGGAGTAGCGGAAAGACCTTCTGGCAGAACATATAGACATTCGACTATCTGCATTGTGCACAAGATGACGTTCGCACGAGTTGGGCGCAAAATTACCATAGCTCGTCTGAAATTAAAATAAGTAAGGCTGGTCTGATGAATATCTCATATCTCATCCTCAACAGACCATTTGCCCGTAATTAGCTCGATCGACTTTGTTTCCGCGGATCACCGAACTTTTTCCAATTCCAAAAAAGCTGAGCTCCGGCCTCACAAAGTATATCGACAGCAACTTTAGTGCTTTCCACACTATGGCTGACGTTATCATTGACAAAGGGGTTTTCCGTGGAACAGTTCCGCCAGCTGGCGTTCCCTTAACTCCTATAGACCGAAATCTACCCAAATTTCCTACAGTTAAAAGGTGTGACTCCCTACTTTGAGGTAATTGTGAAGATTCCTTAGCCATCAAGGAACACAATTTGTAGTTGCGGCAAATAGAAACCTCACCTCGACTGTAACCAGGCTTTGAGTCACCGTCAAATCACAGTTGACTTTAACTACTTCTCTGCATGCCGACGAAAATCCTCGCATCTAGGGCTTCTCTCTCTGTTCCGTATCCGTAGTACTGCTTTCTCCAGCCTGCACGCAAGCAAGACGAAATATCTTTCGTCCGGTAGGACTTAATCAGCGCATTGATGCTTGAGTAGAAGGTGTACAAAATTTCGTCCATTTTGTAACCCACACCGAAACCAACAGCAATGTTCGCCTTGTAATCCAATGAACAATAACTCTTTGAGACTGGGAGAGCTAGACAGTTGAACAGAAAAATGGTCTCTGGACGAACAATGATAAAAACTCAACAAGTCCTTCTTCATTGCACTATGGATGATGGAATGATTGGCTGAGTATGTGATATAAAGGAGGATCCATTTCGAGGTTTCCTTTTTTTATAGAAAAAAAAACAAAAAAAATACAAATTTAGTGGGTAATGTTTATTATCGTTGGAAAGAAAGTGCTTTGGCATTTAGTTCTTGAAGATTATCTCCTTGAAATATAGATCGCGACTATATTTTAGAGAGTCCATCCGTTGAGTCCAATTTTCGATGACTCGTTCGAGTATTTCGACTGGTAACTGGCGAATGCTATGCGTAAATTTTTAGCTCCAAAGCATGAATCGTTGCGGGATTGTCGGCATAGAGTTTAGACTTTACATATTCCACAGGAAAAAGCCTAACGCTGTGATGTCCAACGATCTTGGTGGCTAAAATGTGAAATTATCCGCTCACCGAAGTGTTCTCGAAATAAAACTATTGTTTGGTGCATTGTGTAGGAAGCGGCGCCTTGTCTTGTTGAAACCAAATATCGTCGTGAAAAAAATGAACCGATGATTCCAACGGCCCACAAATCACACCAAACCGTGGTATTTTCTAGATGAAATGGCAGCTCTTGAATCTCTTTAGGTTGTTCTTCATCTCTAATGTGTAAATTTTCCTTGTTTGTAACCCCATTGAGCCAGAAATGGACCTCAACGCTGAACAATTTTGGTTTGAATACGTCGGATCTGCCTGGTACTTTCCATGCGCCTATTCAGCGAAGTGATGTTGCTTGCGCAAACTGTATTTTGTACGCCTTCAATTGAAAATATCGTCGCAAGAGTCAGTCATGCTGGACGTGGTCCATTCGGTCAAATGTTATCCAGTAGTGAATGCAGGGTCTCACGATGTTTAATGGTGTCACGAATATTACTCTAAGTAGAACGATTATCTTGACCACAAGTTGAGTGAAGCTCGACAAAACACATTCTTTACAGAATGTGAAACTGGGTAAGTTGAACAATTTGTGGACGTTGTTCAGACGTGAGTCTTTCTATGGTAAAATGCTAAACAATGCAGAACAAATATAACATAGCAGCACGTATGTGATCTTTCAAAAAATGCTATTGAAAAAAGTATCTCTACTTGGATGACCAGTTATGATATGGCGAAACTGATGTAGTCCAAGAAAGCGTCTATGGATGTCCGTAGGGGCAAAAACTCTCTGGCGCTAATTAGTTTTTTGATAGTTGTGAAAGCAGACCAAGAGAAAGATCTCGAATCTTTGTTATAAACATCAGCTGAGGAACGATCTGTTTGCTCTTAATGTCCTCGAACTGCGGAGGAAAAAAATTACTGACATTCTAAGTAATAATTCTGACTTCGGCAGACACAGAATTTATGTCTTGAGTCTCCTCTATAACCCCATTTGAAAAATATTTGAAATATTCTAATAAATATAAATTTTTAAATAACTTCTCCCCTTCAAATATTCATTCTGCTACCATTCGTGCATGCTAATTTGCAATTTGAGAAAATAAATCGCAAAATAAGTACGAAAAATAAATAAAATACCAAAACAAGAAAAATATGCAGACATAAATCTTTAATCAAATCGATGGACCATAGCTAAAGGCATACCGAAATAAGCGAGTAACGAGAAAAAAAAGGAAGATGTGGCACACATGAGACTCGAAGCGTCGAAGGATAATCATATTTGTGTACATAAGGACACATATGTGACCAAGAGGGCGTTCTAAGGAAGCAAACATTGAATGGGGAGGTTGGTACAGGCATCATTATCAAATTAAAATACCATTTTACGTATCGAATGAATGCCGCAGATGCCAGCAGCAAATAAGAAGATGTATAAGAAGACATTGCTAGATGCTAAAGTACGACGAAAGGATCAACAAACAGACGTGAGACAGAGTCAGCAGCATGGCAAAAGGAATGCCGAAAAATCAAATCAATATTAATTTGCAAAACAGCGTGCAATTGTCTGGCGTACTAAAGAGGAATACACGCCGAGAACGCAGATTTGCCGAAAGGACATGCCGGTGCACTAAAAAAAGAAACAAAAAAAAAAATAAAATAAAAAAAAAGACAGGGGGGAGCGGCTTAACTTAAGGTCAAAGACGAATGCTTCTTAGCATATGCACATAAATCTTGCTCGGCGAAAGGGGAGACGGCGAAAAATTACGGCACAAACCGACACATTACCACTGAGGGTAGAGCAATATCGGCAGCTGAACTAAGCAATGAATGGGGAAGCAATAGGAAAAGGACAATAACGCCGCTAAACGCTTCAATGACAATTCTAGCATGTAAAATAAAATAGTAAATACACATAAATAAAAGAAAGTTCACAGACACTGTGCGAAAACCCCAAAGGCCAAGGATATGCCGGGAACTAAAGAAATCAAGCAAGAAACAAGCGAAAATCCTGCTTAAAGTTGTCGAACAACCACGCACCCAGCAAAAACACATCTACACTGAGTTCTAATAAAATGAATGAGAAATGGTCGTAAATGGACAGACGCGAGCCGGGCGAAATGGACGAAAGGACTTCAAAGGACATTCGAAGTGAGAATATAGTTAGAAAACCGGCAGGACGGGTGGAAGGAGTTGGACAGTTGGCAGACACTTGGCAGTAGTCATAAAAACAGCAGCAACAGCGCCAAGAAACATAAGCGACAATCACAGCAGCAGCAGCAGTAACAGCAACTGTGACAGAGACAAAGAACAAACACATGCAGCGCGCGCGAAAGGAAGTGCGGAGAGAGTGAAGTAGAGAAGGCGGAAAATAAAAGTAAAGCAAAAGGAAGTGTCCAAATTGCCCTTAAAGGCGCGCAAATAAAATTTTAGGCGAGAAAACAAGTGGCGTGATGCTTTTCTTGAAAGGAAATCGAATTCTACACTTTTAAAGCGTCAGAAAAGTGCGGCTAGAAAGTGGCTGAGATGCCAACAGAAGTATTGCAGTGGACAAGTGGGTGTGGCACACACAAACAGGCGCACAAAGGACATGCACAAAGGATGTGTTTTGCAGATACAAAGGACACATTGTGCGTATTTGCGCATTAATCAATTGCATTTACAGGACAATGTGTTGTTATGTGTGCTCGTTTTTCTGCTTTATTTTTCATTTCTACCAAAATGATTGCCTGCTGCTTTGCCATCAAACGGCATGGACAATGAAGTGTGTGGGCAAAGGACCTTTTTTCTGCGCTTGTCTATTTACGCTCTTTGGCTTTAGGGTTTTTGTTGTTGTTGTTGTTGTAGCCGCTGGGTGGTTAGGCCGCTTGCGGGCAGATTGATTTGTAGGCTTGACCTAACTTGGCGTTTGATTAAATTAAATTCCGAAAAGAGGCAAAAAACCCAAAAAAAAAAAATACCAAAAAGGCAGTCAGTGAGTATGAAGGGAAGGAGAATATTTAGAGAAAAGAAAAAAACAAACAAAAACAAATACAAAAAAATTGAATTGGTAAATACATAAGTAAATGGTTGACCGTAAAAAGGGACGCGCGCGTAACTGTGGCGGGGAAACGCAAAATTAGTGTTTAAATAGACAAGGAAATTTGTGTAATAATTTATGCTGCCAGCTGATTTTTTTACTACTAAATTTATCACATTTTTTTCTTTGATTTTTTAAATTTTTTTTTTTTGCGGAAATTTTGATAAAAAGTCTCAAACAATTGCTTTTGACATAGATAAAATGCGTCCATTTCATTTTGATTGTTTATTTGCTTCTCTATATATCCTTCGTTGCCCAAATGACCAATTTAGATTTTGACAAAATTTCCAACAGCTGCGTCGCTATATTTTTCAATATTTCTTTGTGTGCGGAGAAATCGTCGTTTGTGCGTAATTTGCGTACAACAAATGCGTTCAATGATATCCTCTTATTTACTAGGTCTTTTTTCTGTTTTTTATGGACTTTCTCTTTCTCTCGATATTCTTCTATCATCTCTCGCTCTCTCTCTTTCCTTCCCCAATTTTTTCACTAACTAGTTATTAGCGCTTTTATACGCAGCTTTTCTCTTTGATGTTGATTTTGGGTGATGATTTTGCTTACTAATGAGTAAAAACAAATTACACATAATACCGTTTTAATGATTTGGTAATAAATATTGTTTATTTGTTTACTTCTTTGTAAATGATAATTGTAAGCTACTTTCTCTTTCGATGTGTTTACTTGCTGTTTTTTGTTTTAACTGGTTGAGAATTGCGTGTGCGTAATTTTTTTCCACTTCTACTTCATTGGCGTAGGTAGCCCTTACGCCTTTATGACGAGGCTTGTCATACACAGTAAGCCTGTTAAATTCTTCTGTTGATTAAGTGAAGCGAAACCTTTTTTGACTGATGTTTTCAATCGCTTGCAGGTTTTCCTCGTTTTCTATTTCCACCAGCGTGTACTGCATCGAAAAAGCTTGGATCCAACTGAACATCTTGATCTAGCTAGAGCAGCTGCTTTCTCTGCATTTTCTGAACCATGTCAATGTTGAGGTCCTCAATGTTACATCTATGACAACAGTTCGATGACTGGTGTGTTTCTTCGTTGAATGTGAAGTTCCAAAGTCTTCAAATAAACCAGTAGAGTACATGGCTGGATAGAGTTTTCACTTTCAAATTCCCTGTCCCAGATTAATTGTGTGAATTTTGTTTCGGTCCATGAAAGATCGAAAGATGGTCACTAGAGTGATGTAATGTCCTTAAGTAGACCAGTGGTGTGCGTAATCGCGTCGTAAGCTCATTTTCCTCATATTCCTGCTGGGTTCGATGGTTTGTTTATTTGCCAAGTGCTCAAGCATATTTCACAGGCTAAAAGCACTAAGACTGCAATACTTGGCTTAGGTTGGCCAACGAGTCTCACTAGAATGTTATTATATTCAGACATCTTACATACGGTGAAACTGTTCTGATAATGCTGTTGATATTTGCTCTTCACAAATTGAAAAAGTCATTTTGGCCTTTGTCCATTGCTGAATGAAAAACCTACAGCAGCTAGCATAGACTCTGTATGCCGAAAGACTGGACACGCTCCACTAACTTCTCACATTGCCTATATATGTCAAATACTCGTACACTTGTCGCTCTCAACGAGTCCTAGTTTATAGGCATGCGACGCCGAAAGGCAATGCTCCATTAAAAGTCCTTCTAGCAACCTAAATTACAGCCCTTTTTAACTAGTAAGAGCTTCGTTAGTCTTTCCTCATATATTTTGGGCATGGCTTTGCGATTCTGCTGCCCTTTTTCTGTTCCCAAATTTTGTTTGTAGCAAGATTGCAACCTAATTTATTTCCCTGAGTTCTGTTCTGAAAAGATACCCTCCTTAGCAAGCCATTGCCCATTAGACCGGGCACCCGGTAAATATGAACTCTTTTTACCCCGGTAGTTTTTTTTATCACCTTTTTACGTCCTGGAAGAGCGTGGACCCTACAGTAGTTCCACTGCAAGGAAACCCAATTTGCATGCGAAAATTCCAGCTAAATAAAAGAAGTCCGCCAATAACGACAGAAATAACAAATTCCACCACTCTTTGTTCTTGTTATATCGGCAGACCGTGGCAGAATGAAGTGCGCAAAATGAAATTAAACGATGCATCGTCGACACAGCCGAGTGGTTAGAGATTATCGCTGTAGCGCGTTGAGCTCCGGTTCCAGTCCCGCTAGAGGCAAATTTATTTTTAAAATTTCTATTTTTTTTAATTTTTGGTGAAACAGAAATTTTCACCTACACGTTATTCCCACGTTGTTTTTGTTTTTAATATGACACGACTAAGTTTCAGTCAGTTGAGTGAGGGTCTCGGTTCGATTCTCGCAGCCGCCAAACTGATTTTTATTTGATTCAGTTTTGTTTGCCTAAACGAACTAGTATTGAACTAGTATGAACTTGATGCATAGTAGGACAATTACCAGCTCGTAATACATTGAATTCTAGTTGGCAACTAGTATTTTTTGCTGCCTCCATTTTTATACCAAATATTTCGGCTTGGAAGATATTGCAAACGTTTTACAGCTGAAAAGACTTTTTAGTTCTTATTCGGCGCAATAATCAGCAGCTCCCATTCCTTGATTTAATCTGTAAAAGCATGCAGAGAATTGGCTGCAAACGTCAATCCTTAGACCCATCCATATATAGCAGCTTCCCGAAATTTAGGCGCGAGATTACATAGTCTAATCGGACTTATGATAATGCTATACTTCTGTACCCAACTACCCACATTTTCAACTGCCTCGGAGAGGATAGCACTGCGCCATGTTTTTAGCTCTTAAATTTGCTGGTGGCTTGTGCGAAATTGCATGTAGCGCTGCAGGTGGTATTATTTTGAGTGCTCCGGTGATGCCTATCATTGAAGGTCTGAATGGCTCCTTTAGTCTATCCAGATATGCTTTCTGTCCGTAGGCTTCCACAACACTAGAGAACCGTATAAAAGTATTGGTTCTATGATCGCTACGAAAATGCAATACAAGAGAACAGGCCAGATACCCCAAGTCTAGCCCAACATCCTTCCATATGCTTATGAAGGCGCTAATACCTTTCATACTGGCTTCTCTGCATTGAGTCACCACGACAACTTGCTATCCAAAGAACTTAGTGCTAAGTTTCAGCTGTAGAGTTGTTTGCGCCAACTTTGGGTTGTTACAAGCTAGAACTAGATCTGTTTTTAATTACTCCTTTTCGTTATTTATTCCCAATGTAGGATTCGCGAGAGAGCCGAAGGTTTCCTACTAGATGTACGAGTCAATTGGAGTCGTTAAGTTAGTTAGTTAGTTAGTCTGCTGTTGAGTAATGGCACTTAGGGCTGCTGATTTGTTGTTATTCCCGAAAAAGAAGTTCCTCTCACTTTTTAGATGTTAAAGACCTAAATGCTGTTGCTAATTCAAGCTCTCATAGTCAACTTAAAGTCTCCTAGCAATCAAAGTCAGTCCGCACTTTGTGCTGGGCAGTGGCAGAGGTAAAGCTCTATCGACTTCTTCTCATCGATGGCGCTGCAGTTGCTAACATAACCGAACTAACTCTACCTTCTAAAGTTTCCAGTCGACTGTGTACACCGGGTGTAACGCCGACGGAGGTTCTGTTGGGAAACTGTAGCGACTTTGTTCTCTTCATTTCAATACCTACATACATTGCATGCACAATAGAATGTCAATGTTCTGTGCGGAATTTTTTTGGGAGTTCAATAAGAACTGAGACTCTTTTTGCTTTTCGTAACTGTGCGAAAGACTTGGTTTCTCCTGCCTAAAACAGCTGCATTTCATTTAGTGAAAGACTCTACCTACATAAACAGAGAAGTGTAGTTGTTTGGCGATGTTTTAGTCGCAGTAGTATTTTGAAGTGATCTCTTGAGGCAACTTGTGGGAAGATCAGTTGCAAACGAAGAGGGTTATGAATTTTCAGCAGATGCTGCAGGCCAATAGTTTTCATCGTGTAAGGTGTGAAAGGCGTACCTTCTTCGTTGCTCCTAACTACAAGTGTTTCCGGCACAGCTACTGCAACTGCAAACTATGTTGAAAGATTGGTTGGGATATTAGAAGGTTTCGTAACATTTTCACGCTACTAAGATATTCTCAATCTTACATGATCTTTATTTGAGTTAGTAAGCCTCAAGTCGCTTGGTCCACGTCACTGTTGACAGTCATAACTATGAGATCGTAGATAACTTCGTCTATCCAATAACAATGCCGGACTTGAAATCCAACGCAGAATAACACTAGCCAAAAGTTATTACTTTGGATTGAGCATGCAAGTGAAATACAAAGTCCTCTCTCGTGGAAACAAAACTAAACTTTACAAGTCCCTCATCATTACTGCTGCTGAGGCCGCTCTAGGAGTCTTCGGAGAAAAGTTTTGTGCACAATTTATGAACTTTTGCGAAC